GGGGGGGGGGGTGTGGACTCGCATACCCTCCTCCTAGAAAGTTCTTTCGGGTGCTCTACGACAGTTCTTTCTTATCGCCTTCGCTCTCCCTTGGTAGTCTTTCTCGCGTTCTTGGCCATCTCCTTCCTCATCTTGTCCGCTTCCAGGGCTATTTTGTTCTGGAGGGCGGTGGCGTGGTGGGTCTTCTTGATGGCCTCTCGCTGGCGGGAACAAGAGTCAGCCGCACACGAGGGAGAAAGGCATACGGGAGGGATACAAAGAAATAAGAGGCAGCGAGGACCGGCAGGGACACAAAAACATAGGGACAAAAGTCAGAGAGGACCAAGTCACAAACAACACGAGAGAGGGAAACGAAAACGAGAGACCAAGTCACACAAAAAAGTAAGAAGCGAGCAGGGTGACAGCTTCCACGACGCCTCCAAAAACGTTAACAAAGCACGCGGACGATAGAGGACTAAACAACTGGCTGCTGTGGACTTCCGGTAAGATAATCAGTTCTCAAGATCGCCTAACAATGCAGGCGCATCCATGATGACATCGTTAGACACCGGTAGCCCTGCCCTAACTCCTCATGTTTAGGTCCAAAGAAGATTGAGATATTATCCGTGAGTAGCGTACCACGTAGTAACACGCACACTAGATCATGGCCTTGAGAAGCGTTTTCTGGGTTCGAACCAAGCTGACGGTTTTTATATTGGCCAGCCGGTTAGCGCGGTCGCTGCTAACAGTAAAACACACACACTCGAGTAGAACATGATCGTGTTCTTGTATTTCGCCACAAGGCCGAGACTGACGTGTTGTCAGTTGTCAGCCGGTTAGCCCGGTCGATGCTAGCAACAAAACATACACACACGAGTGGAACATGATCGTGGTTGTAACCCGCTACAAGACTCAGACTTGAGTTTTTTTCAATGGTCAGCCGGTTAGCTTTCTACTCGTGTGCGTGTGTTATTCTTTGTATTGACCGCGCTAACCGACTGCCCAATAAAAAAACACGGCAGTCTCAGTCTTGTAGCGGGATACAACATGAATATCTTCTTACTTGCGTGTGTGTATTGGTGTTAGCATCGACCGCGCGTCCGTGTTGGATCCCGCTACAAGACGGACGCCATGTCTTTATATACACACACACCTTGGCGGCTATTTCCTCTCGGACCCGCTCCTTGTTGAGGTTCTTCCCGTATGCCTCCCCCAGAGAATCTCCAGCCTGGATGGATTCAAACGATCAATCGTTCGACATGTGACACACAAAAAAAAAACGTTGCAATAAAGCGAAATGCAAGATGATGAAGAGTAAACGGATGGGTCGTTCAAATCGTGAGCACAAACAATCACATTAGCACCACACGCGAGGTGAAGAGTAAGCGGATGCATCGATCGAAACGTGAAAAAAGGTCATAGTTGCGTAAATAGTAAACGGAAGAAGCGTTCGACACGTGATAAAAAAAAAAGAGGGCAACGCAAGACACGAAGCCGCCTACTTAGTTGCAGTCTTGGCTCGATACGGCCGGGACGGGCGTCATCCGGCTGTTGCGTCCGAAACCGACCATATGGGGTCTTCGCTGTACGACTAAGGAACGATGGCCACGCCGGACGAACTTTGGTTGGTACTCTGTCCACACGAAGCATCTCTAGATTTACGCGACGCAGTGGAACCAAATAGCGCGGTAACTGACACCCGCGGGGGGGTTCCAACACCGGGGGGGGGGTGGCTGACGCTGGATAGAGAAAGTGAGGGCAAAACCTCCTCAAGTTTCACCAAACTCTCTCCTTCCTCTTCTTCCGGCGGCAGGAAGTTCCGGCATGAAACCCCAATCACACCGAAACGCTTCTCCTCCTACGAGCACGCCTCCTCAAGCCTCCCCGAACTCCCCCCTGTTGCGGGCATAACTACAAAACTCAACGGAAAAAAAAACATCACACCGAACCCCCCCCCCCCTACAAGCACGCCGTTCCTCACCTCAAGTCTCACCGAACTCCCTCCTTCCTTTTCTTCCGGTGTTCCGACATGAAACCCCCATCACACCGGAACGCCTCCCTTCCTAAAAAACACGCCTCTTCAGTCTCACCGAATTCCTTCCCTTTCTTCCGGTGTTCCGACATGAAACCCCCATCGCACCTCCCCCCTAACAACGCACGCCTCCTTAACCAAGACTCACCGAACTCCCTCCTTCCCCATCCCCCCCTTCCTCCGGCGGCAGGGGGTTGCCCTCCTCATCGACGGGGTCGGAGTCGTAACCGTACTCGCCCAGGAGCCTGGCGCGCTCCGCCTGCTCCTCCGGCGACCTCTGCACTCTCCTGTCCGCCTTCGCCCTC